GCAAGTCAACAACATAGCTTTGTCCCATGTCAATGCATTTAAACAAAATTACGGCACTGCACAAAGTTTGCAAGCCAACCCGTGCAAAATATTCAAAACTTTACATGTTTGACTTAATTTGACCCTGAAGATCTTGACTTAGTGTCGCGGCTTTTTCACCTAAGTGAGTTCCCTGTAGTACCCACTGACCCTTTGAGCTCCGTTACTCTACCTCTTACGGTTCTCGAGATGGTGGAGGGGGCGAGATCCGCCTCCTCCCCCCTCCTCCCCCTAGCGTCCCAGAGTCCCTCCCTGCGCGTGTTGAACCGCCAGCGTCGGCGGTCGGCGGCGGGACGCCCGCAACGGCAGGTGGTGAGCGCGCCGCACCTGGCCCTCCCGCATTTAAATGGCGGCGCCAGCGTCCGATGCAGTCGGCCGGCAATCAAGCGACCCTGCGGGCGGCCGAGCGTGGCCCGGCGGCAGCCGGCGAGGCCGAGGGCGGCCCGGCGGCAGCCGGCCGAGCAGGCCCGAGCAGCTGCGGCCCGCAGCAGCTGATGAGCCGACAGCTCAGCTGCTCAACCGCGCCTCTGTCGGTCTGAAGCACCAGGCGGACTCGGCGGTATAGAGGCAGTGCGTTCTGATGGGTTGGTTTCGGGCCCGGGGTCAGCGCTGGACCTGAAGCTTCACGCAAAACCTAGCGAAAAACAACGCCTAGATCTGTTGTTCCACGACCTAATGCAGGCCCATCTACAAGGATGGTGTTAACATGTCACGGACTGCTAGCGAAATGTAAGCGTAATTGTACCATGCACCCTAGTGAAGTTTTTTTTATAAGCTCGAATGCTGCAAGGGCTTCATTTGGCTACACGTACCCCTAAGTTAGAATCGAATATAAAACGTCTGCGTGTTTTCCGTGTTGTTTTCCTAGTTTGGAGGTGACCACGAAGGCAGAGAGGTGGTTCGATGGGGTGGGGGGACCTTAGCAGATACGGTGACCCCAGCTGCATGGGCCCCTGCGCCCGCGACCGAGCCCGCCCATTGAGGCGCCGCTGCCACCGCCGCCACCGCCGCCGCCACCACCGCCGCCGCCGCTGCCGCCGCGGACCCGACACGAGCACCCCAGCGCGACGCACGGGCGCGCGCCACGTGCTCCAGCGCGGCCGTATCTCGACAGCGGCCGCGCAGTTCTGCGAACCGCACCGAATCGGCGTCACTTTATCGGACGCGTCGCCGGGCGGAAACGGCCGCGTGACGGCGGCGCCGGCGTCGTTTCATCGCCCGGCAGCCGCGGCGTGAGGAGCACCGCCCACGCGTAATGACCTCCAGTCAATGTCGAACACTGGACGGAGCGGTACGCAGACTGAGCCGGCAGACCAACACGGGGCCTGCGGTGGAGTGTTTTCCATGGACGCCCTCAAACAGCTCGGCGATCAGTGTTCAACGATAGTCCAACTTTTTCGCAAGCACCCGGGTAGGTTGTGAAAATCTGACGCGACTTTTTTGCATCGTGTGGCGAGCAAGATACAAGGAGTATGCTAGAGAACAGAGTGCCAAATCTGTCGACGGAACATAACGCCTTAGCAGAAGAATAATACAGTCTGGCGCAAGCCTCCTGCGCAAATTGGATCACTGTGATGACTAAATTGGATCATTATCACCAAACAATAAAGAACACGAACTCCGACACCAGCGATCAACTCCAGCTCACTGCTACTTTTAGAGCTAAGGAAAGCTGTAATAAAAAAGGAAAAACCGAGTTTGATTCACACCAGTCCATAACAATCAGTGGCCGGACATGACACGTGACGATCGGAGTCCAAAACCCGGTGTTTATGAAAACAGGCGCCCATTCAGCAGACGTAAGCATCCACTTCCAAAGCGGGAAGGGCCTTTGTCAACGTCTCACGGTGACACTGATAGTCAAAAGCACACCGAACAATCTTCACGCTCAGCAACAGCCAACAGCGAAACGACGGTATCTTTTACAAATAGCCGGCTCCGGGGCCTGACATTGCAATGCGGCGGAGCGAGCCGCACGTGTCGGCGTGCGGCAGGGGGCAGCGGGCTGCCCCGTGGACCGCGACCGCCACTGGCTCGAGACAGCCATGTGCGACCCCCGCACTGTGTGTGAACAGAGCCTGTGCTGAACCCCGATTAGGACAGCCATGACAACCGCCACACGGATCAGAGAGCGTCCTAGTTTTTCCCATAAAGCTAGCAGCGCTGCATACTGCACTTGTGCATCGTGCCAGGGGCACCGCCAGGATTCTCTACGGGGGGGGGGGGGGGGGAAGGGACGGGGCGGATCTTAGTGAGAACTCCATGCCGGCTTATAACTTTCTGTCTAGAACCAACTATGGTGCTAAGAGCAAAACTTCCGGGCCTAAGATGGGGGGGGGGGGGGTCCCTTGGCTGCGCTTATTCATTGTGCACTGCCCCTGAGTTTTTCCACGTTCCACCCGAGTGTGTTATGTCCAGCACTACAGACAACCCCTACAGATCCCTGTAGACCCCTGCAGACCTCTGCAGACTCCTGCTGACCCCTCCAGACCCCTGCAGACGACCCGTGCAGATCCCTGCAGACCACTGCAGACAACTCCTCCAGACCCCTGCTCCTGGGTGATTAGCGGAGGACCCGGAGGCACCGTCCCCAAGCCACGGTCGTCGACACCGCAACCGGTCATCGGCGGCGGGGCGGGGTAGGGCGCGCGAGGGGGAGGGTGACCTTCGCGGCATCAGCTGATCGGTGCAGACCGCCGCGCAACGGCACCACATCCTGCTACAAGGGCAGCGTCGCCGGCGGCATGGCTGGCGACATACCGACACTTTTTACATTGGTGTGCAGCGCGCTGACAATCCCACCAAATTTACGTTCGCTCTCGCCCAGTTGAGACGGAGACCGGAGGGGGTTCTTCGCCAGCCGACGACCTCCTCCGTCCATGTTGAGGCCACAGACATCCGGCAGGGGGTCGGCGTGTATGGACAAGCACCGTAACACCCGGCGCTGCTCTCGGCCGACAGCACGAGTCGCCGACGGTCCGCGCCGCCTTCCAGTCCGTCGACACGTCGCGGCCCGTATTTGGCGCTGGGTCGGCAGCGGCGCGGTCACGGCGGGGTCACGGCGGGGTCGCCGTCCCGGGGGAGAGGCCCGGCGCCAAAGACGGAGCGGCGCCCGGCGCCGGCCCCGACCCAGCCGCGGCGCGCGCCTGACCTCTGCACGCTCTGCACGTGCCGGCCGCGCCGCCGGTCGGGCGCCGGCGGCTCGCCGCAGCGCCGCGCCCCAGTCGCTGGTCCGACTCGGAGCGGGCAGACATCAGCGACGCGGATGCCGCGGCGCCGGCGCCGGCGTCGCCGCCGAGCGGATCGGTATCGGCGATGCCGGGTCGCAGATCGCCGGAACGCCCCCGTAGTGGGCCGTATCGGAGCCGTATTTATTTTCGGGCGGTGGGTGGGCGGCGCCGGCGCGTGGGAGCCGGGTGAGGCGCGCCCGACATCGGCGGCGTGGCGGAGATAGCGGTGCCGGCGGCGTCACGTGCTCCGTCCCGGCCGGCGGCGCGACCGCTTCTGGTGAGCCGGCCACGGCCAGCTAGCTGGGCACAGTAGCTGAGGCACGGCTACCGCGGCCGGACAGAGGGACGGCCGCAGCTCACGGCGAACCCCACCTGACCATCCGCCCGGACAGCTGGCCGGACGGGAGGCCGGACAGCTGACCGGACAGCCAAACTTGCACCAAACACAGCTGTCGGCCCCACAGCCGGATCTCAGCAGTTGACCACAGCACGTGCGGCGGGTCAGCCGCCGGTTGCGCCCACGCAGCCGGTGCCAAACACCCTGACATTCACGCCAGCCTGGGTCAGCACGTCCCGCGCCGTCATCGGGCCGTCGGACATGAATACCGAGCCGGTACGGCGGCCCCAACCAGCTCGACCGGTGCCCACCCATCGGAGGCCACTGGTAATACCGAGCCGGTACGGCGGCGCCGACCAGCTCGACCGGTGTCCACCCATCGGAGGCCACTGGTAATACCGAGCCGGTACGGCGGCGCCGACCAGCTCGACCGGTGCCCACCCATCGGAGGCCACTGGTAATACCGAGCCGGTACGGCGGCGCCGACCAGCTCGACCGGTGCCCACCCATCGGAGGCCACTGGTAATACCGAGCCGGTACGGCGGCGCCGACCAGCTCGACCGGTGCCCACCCATCGGAGGCCACTGGCAGTCAACTCCTGTTTATTCAGCGCCGCTGCCCGGCCCCACAACAGCTCGGAGTGAGCGACTCTGTCTTTCTCCCTCGCCATCTCGGGACACGCTGTTTGTCCTCCGGACATAGCGAGTCGGCTGTTTACCATATCGCGCCGGGGCAAAGTGCAAGCGGCCGTTTCCGCGCGGAGCTTTTCCCACATCTGTTTACGACGGCCCAAACGGTGCGTGTACCCACCCTCCGTTCAGAAAAGCCGTTTCATAAACCAGCCCCGAGGCGGCACACAACGTTCTGGTACACAAACAACCTCGGCGCCCGTCCATTGCGCGTCCTTACCGAGATAAATGAAAGCCAATAAAGTGCAGAACAAAGTGGAATTAACTAGGGAGGACGGGCAAAAGGCTCACTGCCCAAGCAGACGGGCTACAGAGCTCGCCGACCCGCTCAGGAGCCCCGGCCGGCCCCAGAGCCTGCACGGGGAGGAAGTGAGAAGGGACGCTCGCCGACCGACCCCAGAGTCCACGCGGGGAGGGGAGGCGAGTCGAGACACGCACCGACCGGCCCGACAGCCTACACGGGGAGGAGAAGCGAGTCGAGACACGGCGAGGCCCGGGCCACCGGCGGTTCCACGAGGAGATCCATCTGAACGTATGTACTATGCTGTAGCACGCATTGATGCTGCCAGGAATGGCACTGAAAGCAATGCATGGGAATGGAAACGTAACACGTCTGACCGAGTTCTGCCCACTGACCTGACGTTGGGGTGCTTGGCGCTCGCTCCCACCGACCGGCCCACGTCTGACCGGGTTCTGGCCACTGACCTGACGATGTTGGGGTGCTCCGACTTCTCCAGCTGGCGCAGGGTGGCGATCTCGCGCAGGGTCGACATGGGCACGCCCTCGTCCGACAGACGCACCCGGATCTTCTTCAGCGCCACCATCTGGCCCTCGTTGCGCAGGTCGCGCGCCTTGAACACCGTGCCATACGCGCCTGTCGGAGCGGAGCGCGCCGGAGTGAGATGGCGGCCACGGGAGTGCAAACGCACCCGAAACGCTGCTGTCAGCCAGCAGCCAAGCTGGAGGGTCGGGATGACTTAACGCTGCGACACACACGCCGAGAATAATCTATCGCTCGCGGAGTCAAACGAAATCGTACGCGCTGGGTCACAGAAATTGCAAGCGCTGGGTCAGAGATTGTATGCGCTAGGTCACAGAGATTATTCGCGCTAGGTCACAGAAATTGTACGCGCTGGTCGCGGATTGTTTGCGCTGGGTCACAGAAATCGTATGCGCTGGATCACAGATATTGAACGCGCTGGGCCACAGATATAGTTAGTTATGGAGTTCTAAGGACGCGTCAGCTGCATTGGTCATTTACGCCCAGGGTCACAGATGTTGTAGGCGCTGGGTCCCAGAGATTGTTCGCGCTCCGGCACAAAGACGTAAGCGCTGGGTCACAGAGATTGTTCGCGCTCCGGCACAAAGACGTAGGCGCTGGGTCACAGATTGTTCGCGCTCCGGCACAAAGACGTAGGCGCTGGGTCACAGAGATTGTACGCGCTGGGCCACAAAGTACGACGACGCCGCGGTTGCCCCATCGGCCCGGTCTGTAACGCATTCTCCAACTGGAGCGGCGGTCGGGGAGCGTAATTGGAGGTCACGCGTCAGCTGAGTGCGCGCCGGCACGATCGACACCTGCCCTCACGATCAGTAATTAACCCAATCATATCGTGTTGTGTGTCTGGACGGCGTTCCAGAAGATGGAGCAACGTCATGCCACTTAAAATTATGTTCCCACAAGAATTGGATAAACACAGACGATACATACGCGGTGGGTGGCAAACAAATCGGAGGTATTAAATCAAACCAAGAGACAACACTGTCCAGAGATCACAATCAGTGTTGTAAAAGCAGGGAAACCGCTGCCCTCAACTCTGATTTAAATATTAATGGGAGCGTAAAGCAGTAGACCTTGACAAGTGGTGTATAATTGGAGCTCATTCCACTCCAATTATGACCTAATTTGGAAACTCTGGTATAATATTTGGACATCAGGAAAGATGTGAATAGATAACCGGGAGCACATATTCCGTCCGCCTTCGAGCTACAACTCGCCGTCACTGATGAGATAAAAATCACTTAAGGGTCAGCCACGCCTGTTACCAAATCGGCCAAGTGTAACGGGGTCGATTTCAGTGGTAACGTGAGGGACGAATGCTGAAGATAACGCAAGGGACGAGTACGGGACAAATGTTAACGGTAACGCGAGGGACCAATGCTGAAGGTAACGCAAGGGACGAACGCAGGAGCACTGTAGGCACACATCTTGTGAGATTCGAAACAAGCGGAGGGAACGCTGCCCTTTACTGCATGCATGCTTCCGTCGCTGGGGTTGTTTATGACGCACACAACTGTTGAGGTTGCTTTAAGGCGCATCGACTGCACGGACGCGGCCTCAGTGCTTTCAGATTCAAGCGAAAGCAGGACTAACAGTTTACATTATTCGCCGGACAAAACCAAAGGCGTCAACAATGCGGTCTGAGCGTCAGGACGTGTCCAGCTCCAAGTCCGCTCAGGCGGCGACCGGCGGCTCTTCCACTGGGGACGGCCGGCCGGGGGTCGGCCCGGCTGGTCAGGACGGCGAGCGGGCCAACGGAGGCCCCGGTCCGCTCCTGGCCGGTCCGGACCGCCTCCTTTATGGCCGTATTAACATTCCTGACACGCCGAGTCGTCAATTACGGCCCAGAAGCTGAGCTGAGCGGCGCTGCCCCGACCGCCGGCCGCCGGCTGACCCGACGGCCCAGTCCTGCGGCCGGCCGCGTCGGGCCCGGCGCAGGGCGGCCGGCCGCCGGCCAGTGTCGCCACGGTGTCCGGACAGGGGACGGGTTAGGGCCGGGCGCGTCAGACGCGAGTAGGTAAGCTCGGCCGCGGTGGCGACACCCGCCGGACGGCCAGCCCGGCGCCCGGCACCGACTCTCCGCCGCCTCCCGCGGCAGGGCATCGACGCGGCGGACTGGCCGCGGCTCTCCGTCCCCGGCGGCGTCACGGCGAGGAGCCACCTCGCCGCTCCGCTCCGGCCGGGCCTCGCCGGGCCGGCGCCCGCCCCTCGGACGTCCCCCGGGACCGGAGCCACCAGACCCACCGGCTCCGGGCGCCGCCGCTCGTCAGCGGCCGGCACCGGCGTGTGAGGCGGCGCAGATGGTGCGTCGGGCGCCCTCACACAGGCAGCTCCCGGCCGGGCCGGGCGACGGCCGGGAGCGCACTCCGCCGCCTGCCTGTCCCGGCCGCCCGCCCGGAATGGGGACGGACATTCCTGAATAGCATCAGCCGGCGCCGCGGCCGGACGGCCGGCGCGGCGCGGAGGAACAACTGAACAGCGGGAGTGACCACGGCCGGCGGCGCTCTACGGCCGCGGCACGCCCGGACCGCAACGCGTGGCATGCTGTGCAGGGGCCAGGGCCACTGTGCAAAAGCGGAAGGGGAAAGCTCGTGCAATGTGGCAACGCACTGAGACTAGGCCTTATCCGACGGTAAGTGGCCACTTATATCCACTGGAGTCACCTCTGGTTGGCAGAAGGCAGCTTACCACGAGAGGAACATTAAAAAACAACTACTTTTATTGCAAGGGATTGCCCGTTTTATAAAAGATATACCGACAATTGATGCAGCCACACCGACAAGTAACCGTAAAGTAAAACCTTCAATGAGCGTAATATTGTCAACAAAGGTGTGAATCACTAAATGAACGGGCGATAAAACGAAGGATACGGGCAGAATCTTGCAACCACCAAGCACGGCGGCGGTTAACACCTTCACCAACGACCTGGCCGGGCCTGCAAAGGCCGTCTGAATGACTGGCTGGCCACCCGCTCTCGCGGGCGGCCTTGGCCTGCCATGGCCTGTTTGAACGTTTGTCTGGGGCGCCTGCTGTCCAACGGCCGGCGGCCGTCCACCCATCAGTGGCGTCCACCGGCACTGACCGGTGGTCACCCCCCGGCCAGTCCGTGTCCACCCAGCGGAGACGTCCGTTGGCCAGCAGCAGACGTCCACCGGCCACCGGCACTGACCGGTGGTCATCCCTCGGTCAGTCCGTGTCCACCCAGCGGAGACGTCCGCTGGCCAGCAGCAGACGTCCACCGGCCGCCGGCTGATCACCTGCCGGCGGCTGCTCCGCGTGACGCAAAAAGGGCCGGCCGCGGCGGCCGCGCCAGACATGACCTGGCATACGTCGGTGGGCAGGCCGGCTGGGCGCGGCACACGTGCGGCGGGCCGTTGTCAATGACCGGCGGCCGGGCCGGGCCGGTGACCGGCCGCCCTGCAGCAGCCCGCCCCGGCCCGCCATTCATCGGGGGCGCGCTCCCACAGCCGGGCCCCGTCTGCAGCCGGGCGTCGGCCGGAGGGCCGCCGCCGCCGCCGCCGCCGCGTGCTGACAAGACGCCGCCGGCGGCCAGCCGCCGCTGCATTTTCTCACGGCCGACCGCAGCGGGGCCGGGCCGGGCCGGTCTGGGAGGACCGGGCCGGCAGGGGCTGGGGAGGAGGCGGCAGAGGCTGGGAGGACGGGGCACCCTCCCGAGGGGAGAGGGCAGCCCCGCTGGACATAAACAGGAGGAGACAGCGGCGATAACGGCGCAGGCGCCGTACAAAGAAAAGGGCAGGAGGACGGCGAGAGCGATGCGGGAGGAGAGCTGGCGGGGAGTGCGCGCGTCGGTCAAACAGGGGTAGACAGAGGTTAGACAGCTGACGAGAGGGCGAGAAGACAGAGATAGAGGGTGACGATCAGGGAGAGGGATACATGACGAGAAGAAAATGACAAGAGGAGGCAGATGGAGGACGTGCAAACGCAACGGAGCGAGCGAGAGGGAGGGACGGTAGGATACTGAGAAAGGGAAAGGACAGGGAGAGCTAGGGCAGTAAGAGAGTTAGCGGTGACAAATACATGAATGCAGTAGAAAGAGGACAGTATGAAACGAAGAAGCAGGGACAGATGGGAGAGGGAGCGGGGTAGGCTCGCAGGCCCACGCCACCCCCGGCTCGGCGGCGGCCAGACGAGCTCGCCAGTCGGCCAGCACCAGCGCCTCGGGCCCACGCACACGGCCGTAATTATGTCGAACCTCTGGTATTTGGAAGCCGGACGGGACAGCCGGGCGGACAACGGTGCTTTGACTGGGGTCAGCCGCTGCGGGAGGGCGGGCCGCCGGCCGGCGGTCGAAGGACGAGCGAGAGCCGCGCCGCTCCGGCCCGGAGAGCGAGCGAGAGAGAGCGCGCGACGCCGGCCGCGCCGAGTATGGACAGAGGCGGCGCCGGGGCGGCGACGGCCGAGGATGGCCGCAGGCGGGAGACGCATGGACTGACACACACGCATGCGGAGCGAGAGATACACACGAGATAGCCCGCGACTCACGCCCCCGTACGAAGACGCCGACTCCTGGCGCGACTGTCGCACAAGAGACAGCTGATCATCACGCGTGGTGGGGTGAGTCGTGTCCAGAGTGTTCGGTGGAGAGCTCGCCAAGCTGGCGGCTGCCTCAGGAGGCGGGGGGGGGGGGGGGGGCAGGCTGGCAAGGGGCACTTGCTGAGTTGCTCGGCACGATACAGATGCCGTCGCTGTTTGCTACAAGGTTGAGGACAAAATTCTGCCAAAATAGAATTACAGATCTGGGATGGTAGGAGCCGGCGTCTCGCAGCGAGTTATACACACCAAGAACCTGTATTCGAAAGCCCTCCTAGAAAAGCGCTCGGTCAAAGTTACAGAGAAGAGGTGCGCATGCGAGCAGAGCCGCCGGCGTGGAGCGCCAGCCACAACCGGTCTTCCGGCGGCCGGGGCGCTATTGCACCGCGGAATGCCGCCTGTGACGTCATTCACCGATCATCATTTGACATCATCTGTTCATCAGCGGAGCTGCCGCAAGACAGCTGCGGCCCCCCACGCGGCTGTCGGCTACCTCGACTCCGCCCGAGCGTGGCAGGCGGCTGCGCCGTTCACTCCATCCTGCATCGTCGCCGACAACAGTGCATGCATCGCGGGCGTTTCTCACCGCAGTACTCCGTGACAGCAACGCCCCACCATTTTCGTCATGCGTTCGCTCTCTACGTCACGTGGCTGGCTGCTCTACTGTATACTCCCAAGCGCTGGCGCTGGCACTCGGTCGTGCCGCCGCCGATGAGAAACACTTGCGGCCGCCGACTCGTGGAACAACAAACAGACGCGTCAACAGCGACCCACCGTTTTCCGATCATGCCGATCTCCTCGTAGTTGGTGGCCTGGCGCAGGAACTCTGTGCCGGGACAGACGAAGCCGGCCGCCGGGTCGGTGCTCCGCTCTCGGCCGGCCATCGCTGCTGGAGCCGTCCGCCGGCGCTAGGACATGCTGACTCCTGGAACGGACGGCGGCCGCGTCAGGCGGGCCGGCCGACTCCGGCCGTACGGACTCCCGGTGGACTCTGGACGCGCGCCGCCGCACGCACGACACCGGTGACCATGCGTGAGAGCGGCGGCGGTCACGTGGCGCGCGGCCGGCGCCGGGGAGCCCCCTGAGCTGGCACCACGTGACTACCGCGGGCGCGGGGCCGACACATCCGGCGGGAAGATGGAGGGGGAGGGGGGGGGGAGGGCGCTGACCAGCTGCGCCGCCGGCCGGCCGTCTGGGCTCTCCGGCAGGCGAGAGGGCGCCCGAGCAGGGCGCGGCCAGTCGGCCCGCGCCGGCCACCCGGCCGGCCGCCGCCTTTGTCCAGGGCCAGCCGGGAAAAAGAGCGGTTCAAGGACCCTGGGGTTCATCATCGCACCCCTCGGGCCGGGCCGGGAGGGCGCCACAAAGGCTGCGCCGACGCCCCGGCCGCGACCTGCTGACGCCGGCGATTATTTTCGGGCCAGGCTGTATAAACGGAAATAGAATGTCGCCGCAGTCGGCCCGTTTCCACAGACTATTTCTGAACACACGGCCATGGGTGGTGTGGTAGTGAGAGGTGCAGCAAACGTTGAGCTTTAAAATAGCTGGCTGAAGGTTATATGAGCCTGTATGTGTTGATGACATCAACAGTGGACGGCGATATCATCGGTTTCAAGCCAGTCGACCGTTACGTATCAGCGCAGGAGGTACTGGAATAGCGTGCTAGCTGATATATGCGCAAATGCCTTGCTCTGGCCAAGCCGTCCCTGCCGGCCGAGTGCATAGAAAACCGGGAGTAAGCCGACTTCTCCCCTTTTAGTCCGGTACTCAAACGCCCACGCATCCAACCACAGAACCAAACACAGGTCAGATGCATCCACCAAGCAGGGACTGCGGCAGCAAGGGAAAGCAGAGGAGGAAGGCGTTACTCCCATCCCGGGATAAAGTAGCACTCGCCCTGATCCGCCGTTCTTCGTAACGCGGACTGATAAGGGGGGGGGGGGCTGCGACCCCCTGGCGTTCTCAAACTAATGAAGGTCAAGCTCAGCAGGAACACCGGTGGGTCGGTATTAGCAAGATGTCGTGACTGGTGCTAGTTTTTAAGTCATAATGTCAATAATTGGCCTGATCATGGCGGGCCAGAGGTCGCATTTTCCAAAAATGGCCTTTTCAGCTTGACATCACTACCTAGGAGACCATGTCTTGCGGCGACAGCACATCTGAACAGGCGCGTTCCTTGTTCAACCGAGTACAGCGGTGTATATTCCTCTGTGTTTTGGCCGCACATTTCTGATACATGACTCCGTTCAGGCGGCAATGTTGCCACATGTCGCCAATGACTCCGTTTGTGGCAAAGTGGCAATGTTGCCCCGCCGCGTGCTATGCAGCACCGTCGGTAACCGCCCGCCCACCCGCGCAGGTCGTACATCGCCGCGCAGTGTTCTTCAACGGATGCTGCTCCGGAACTAGACAAACTAGGAAGACGTTTTTGGTGTAAAAAAACACGCCCGATGCATGTACCACGGGCTGCTGAAAATGTGGGCGCAATTGCGTAGCGTGACGGAGAGGCATCCTCAAAAACCTTAGGACTGCATCCCCCCCCCCCCCCCCCACTCCCAATATCCTGGCGAGTGTTAATATCTGGAACACTGGCGTTGCATGATCAGAAACGACGTCAAACAAAACCTCAGCTTGCCCCGTCCACCTCCAGATACGACACGGCGGGACTGTGACCACATCTCCGTAATCGGAAGCTCGTCCAAACCTTTGTTAAATACCGTTTAATGCTAAATAATTGAAAGAAATCAAGGTTGTTTGTGTTTAAGCCCGAGCTTCTGGGTGGTTTACATCCTTCAACGCCCACCTAGACATGCTTGTCGCAAAATATAGGCAAATAGACCCCACAGCGAGGTGGGCAACAGTGTGCAGAACCTGACGTCCAAAGAACGGTGACGGTGCAGTGAGCGGAACACAGACTAGCCCGTATGCCAGAGCTGTCGCCTGGAGCATTCGCCAGTCCCAGACTGGTCATGCTCCGGGTGCACCTTTCTCGCCCCCCCCCCCCCCTTCGGCGGGATGACCCGGTGTCACCAGTGAGGCGGTCACCAGGTAGATCGCACGACAGCCCAAAAATCAACCGCCAAATAATATGCTGTCAAACTGGATAAAAAGAAGATATTTACGTGATATCGAGTAGCAGAGATCGCGATCGCGACCACCCAATCCACTAATTAACGTTCCTGCGACGGGCCTCGGTCGGCTTTCTCACAGAGCCGGCGACGTGCCGTTCTCCGCGGGCGGAGCGCAGTTCTTACGGACGCACGTGTTAAAAAGCCGGAAAAGAAAACACGCGGCCGGCGTGAGTACGCGACGCCAGCGGCCTTCCCACAGTTCTGGGTTACCGGGAAGTTCTCGCCGACGTCCCCCCCCCCCCCCTCCCCCCCCCCCAGGCGTCCAGTCACGCCGCGGCTTCAGCACACAAGATGGTGTGACATTTGATAGCAGGAACGGAGATCGTAATTAGACGATAGTTGAGCGGAAATTGCGAATGTTGCATTTTCCAGCTGTCCGTAATCAGCGGATATTTCATTCACGTCTCGATCACATTGCGCGGTGCAACAAAGTTTCCGTGCGTTGTTCTTACGCTTACCCTCCGCAACACGATGCAGCGCAGGACCAGTTCACAGCAGCACTCCAGGCGGCCACTGTTTCACGAGCTTCTCATCCTTTTACAACGTTCGCCCTCGTCTCGCAGCCTCAGTCAGCCTCAGACTCGCGGACTCTCGGACTCAACCTCAATCCCGGCGACATTTCGACGAGTCACAGTTTGTCCGAGACAACGAAACGTGTATTAGAGGACGAATGACCCTCATTCAGCATTACAAACGAATGGCGTAGCTGTAATTTCACTTGTCATTACAGATAGATCACCGCTGGAGGTCAGATGGGATCAACCCCGTGTGCTCGTCAGCATCGATGAACCGGTGTCAAGGGTCACACCTGCTTCACGCCGGGTGACATTCGTGCCGTGACACGACCAGCTGCCACCGCGCGCCGGCCAGCAGCCGGGGGCGCCGCCCAGCAGCTGCTGGACGCGTGGGTGTGTGCGCAGACGACAGCTGGTCTGTGAGCTCCGGCAGCAACAGCGCCCCTGCCCGAGCAGCACCGTCGTCTAGCCAGACCCCAGCAGCCCAGCGTGAGGTCGGCCGCCCCACACAGTCCGTCCCGGAGCGGACCTGCCCCAGTGTCAGGCCTGCAGACCGGTCCGACACAGGCGACCCTACGCACCACCTCGACCTCCATCTCTACCTCGACCTCGACCTCGACCGGAGCGATTTTCAGGTCGCTGACAGGCGACGGCTAAGCGAAGACGACAGCCGGCGGTACGACAGCGCTTGTCGCGTGGTCGGTGTCGACTCCGTGCCCATGGCTGTGCCTTTGCTGTTCGTTAGGGATCCAGTTACACCCCGGATATGTCATAGAATGAAAAGTAGGTATATGATGTTGCATGAAATGAATTAACGCGACACCCTCCGCCCAAATTTTCACACCTAAACCAGGGTTTAGTTTCCTGTTCAGTAGAAGATTGGGAGTCATGAGTTGTTCCCCCCCCCCCCCCCGACTAGGACGCCCCTAACTTTAAGAAGAAAATGAGTCAAGTCCGTCGGTAAGCTCGTTTGTCGGCCATATTGGGAGCACGTTTGTTCACTTTTTCACCGCCTAGCCCCCAATTCATTTTGAGAAACTATGCTTCTGACCCTAAACGCTTTTTTCGCTATTCTAGAAAGTCTCGCTTCGGGTCGTGTCGCGAGGCCTCGGCACCATCGTGACCTACGGCGACCCTGTGGCCCATGACCTACGACCAGATCGAGACATTGGTGGAACTTTCCGGATGTCCACCAACTTCAGCGCCGGCTTGTTCGTCCGGCGACATGGTAAATGTTTACTGTCGTCAGGTTCAGCGCGATACGGCAGACCCGGCAGACGCAGCAGCCGGCAGACATGACCGCACGAATGCGCGGTGGATTTCCGGCTCTTTTCATTGTGGTCCCGAGATGGGAAGAAAAAAAAGGATGTCAGAAAAAAAACAAAGACGATTGAAAGTTTAGAGGACGGCATAACCAAGGAATCAAGCTGGGCGGCCTACGCACGAAATGATTGCCACACTTTCAGCTCCTTTTCACCACTAGATATGTAATTTTCATACTTATGAATACCTAACCGTTAAGTTTAACGAGATCCAAAAAACGGGTATTGAGTGGTTAAAACTGAATCCCGAGACGATTGTGACGGAAAAACGTAGGGCAAAAAGAGATAGGAGTTAGCTGATGGCTGCTTATTACATAAGCACGTGGGCATGACGGTGAACCGTCCGCATGCTAATTTCCGGAGAATGTTCTGGTCTACATTCTCACGGTGTGTGAACTGAATCAAATTACGGACCAAAAGACCACAGATTGATATATAAACGCGCCGTATAATTCCTGAATTAATGATATCGTGAATAAAGGTTTGACCAAAGTGTAGTCTATGCTTCGAGACATTAAGGCCATCACACCAGGCTGTTACGAATACAGATGCACTATCAGCCACGAAAAGGGGACTTTGAAAATGCAAAGGTAACGTCGAATTCTTGCGTCGAAAAACGGGCGCAAGCCATTACGCTCTGCCCGAATCGAGCCCACCAAGTACCTCCAGCATCTCTGCAAGAGCTGCCAGCGAAAGTCAACATGCAGCGCCGGATGCAGAAATGCCGTGTCACAGCCTGGCCCGCCAGCCCCCCCCCCCCCCCTCCGCCCTCCCTCCTAGATCCGCACCAGCGTTCCACAGCGCAGCATCCCTCCCAGGTTAGTGCTCCTTCAGCTCAGCACCACCTGGTAGATCAGCGCA